TGAGCTTGACACGTTAATCATTCAGCTTTATTGCCACAAGTGCAGATGTGAATTTTAAGGAAGGCTAGGTTTTTTCCATATTATATTCTTTGGTTGGATTGTCGATGAAGAAAACGTATTTTTGCTATTATAATCGACTACATTACTTATTTTCAGAACAAGTATATTGTTATACTAACTCAAATATTTACATCAGTAACTCTCTCTCTCAGCCCTAGATATATTTACCTCTGATACTACACCATCAATAGCAGATAGTTCATCCATTCCCAGCACTTTCACTAAAGCGATCTGCGTTCAAAAATCTTTGGATCATGACAAAAAACGATCTACTGATGAAGCCGCCTCGGCCAGTGAAGACACTGATACTTTATCGGAGCCGAAGGTATAATTTGCATCTGTATTTTGTTCCTATTTATGAAGTATTATTATTTCCATACAACTAAGTGATTTTTTAAACTTACTCAATCTTTTCACCTATTTAAAATTTTCATTTTATAAGACTTGTAAATCCCACTTAATATCTGGCATAATTATGATCTTTGTCACATGATAAGCTTTTTATTTTTATCAAAATCTAGCATAACTTGAGCTGATATGTTTTAATCTCATTTGAATATGATTTTCTTTTTTTAAAGGGGTGGGCTGAACGCTTTCGCTGTGCCACTCTTCGGGATCCAACTAAACTCGTTCGACACTCTGTGGGCATGGCAGCTCTGGATAGTTCTGCTCCTGAGACAACAAGTAGCGACAACTCTCCTGCTACTTCTCGCAGACCTATGCCTCCCCCTCAAACCACTTTATCACAGTCAACAAAGTCACCTAAATCCATCAGAAAACTTAATTGTGTTGGTTGGTCTCTACCGAACAAATCGATCACATCAGTTTCATTTGATAAACCCTTTTCACAAGCATCTCCTTCCACGACTCCAGTTACCCTGTCATCATCCTGCCACATAGTGCCGACCTCGTCAGAGTCTTGTCTGTTTATCCAAGACGATTTTGCTGCTCGTCTAATTGACGACGAAAAGTCATCTTCGAAAGGGTTTGTCAACATTATTTTAAATATTAATGATCTATATCCAAATTCTTTGGTATAATTAATGGTTTACACAATTCTTTTTTCTGGCCCATACTGATTTTTATTATTTTCAATCTTATGGCAGAGTACTTTGCTAGACTTTTGCTAGACTAATAGCTTGTCCTTTCTATGAATCCGAATCAATTATACGCCATTATTTGTAACACTAGAATATTCGGAATAAGGGGTTCCGAATCCGTAATATTTCGTAGATATGAAGAGATAGATGCTGTGATCTCTCTTTTAGTCGCTGTCTTATTTCGCTGTATAAAAATGTTTGACTTTTTTTCACAAATTGTTGGACTTGCCAGAGGGACTTAGCTTATCGCACCTTTTCTGAAGTCCTAAGCCATGGTAGTTATGATAATTCCTAGCGTCGAACCATTCCTAGACGTTTTGCCGGCATCCTAATCAACCTCGTCAGTTAGTCTCACTATTTTTAATATCAGATTAGGACTAATCAAAGAAAACCAAATTTTTGCCGAATGGTTATGTTATCGCTCTTATCCTGGTAAATCTATCTCGTCCTTGTTCTCATATCTCATTACCTCACTATCAAAACCTCTGACTTGTTTATATTCAATTTCTCATACTGTTACGCCATCCTCCTTCCATAGGTCTTAACAGAGTCTCTACTTGCCACGTAAGATCCGTCTGCCCTCTCCCTGGTTCACATATTTCACTCGACCCCTGCCACCCCATCTGTGCCACCTGAGGCGTTATTGGCCCTACCCTGCGTCTGGGTGACTAATTCGAGGGTCAAGTCTCTGAGTAAGTGTCATGGCCACGCCTTTGCCACATGGACCACGTCTCTTATAAACACTACTGTCAGCCGACTAGCTCCCATCTCTGCCGCGTTTATCATGTTTCTATCTCTAATACCAAATCTATGACTTCCCATTCCCTAGTCTCTTGTGTGCCAACCCACAAACGTTGTAGTTCAACCTTAAACCTAACCAAAGCAAACAGTACCACAACATTTGTATATTAGCTCACAAGAGACTAGGACATAGGAAGTCATAAGCTTCATATTATAGATAGAAACAGGATAGCTAGTGGGAGCTAGTGGGCTGACAGTAGTTTTTATAAGGGGCGTGGTCCATATGGTAAAGGCGTGACCATGACACCTACTCAGAGACTTGAGCCTCGAATTAGTGGCCCAGACGCAGGGCAGGGCGAATAACGCCTCGTGGCACAGATGGGGTGGCAGGGATCAAGTGAAATATGTGAACCAGGGAGAGGGCAGACGGATCTTACGGGGTAAGAAAGAGATTGTGGTAATACCCCTAAGGAAGGAGGACTGCGTAACAATATGGCAGACTGATCAACATTCCCAGCACAAGAATGAAGAGGGGTGAGAAGGCCAGTGTGGAGTGTGGAGGGTTCTCATGAAAGCAGCTAAAAAATGCCACACCGTACCACATTTAATGAAGCAAGTAAAAAATTGTGACGATGACGGCCTGATAGGAGGATATAGGAAATGTTAATATTTCAGGGCAGAATGGGAGATACCATAACTGTTTAGTACACGTTTGGTCAAAAGATCGGCTTCACTTGTCCCTTTGACGGGTGGTAATATGGTGCTACGAATGGCGAGACTCACTGACGATGCCGACTACGATGCCGGCGAAACGTCTGGGAA